GCCAGGGGCAGCGAGAGGGAGTGGAAGCAGAGAGGACACAGAAAGAAAAGGAAGAATTGGGTGCAGGACGAAATTGAAAAACACCCCAAAAAACCAAAAAAACTCAACAACAAACAAACAAAAAATTCCAAAAAACCAAAAAAAACCCAAATTGGGAAGGGCAGCATGGCAGAGAGGCTTTAAAAAAGAACAGGAACAGGGAATGGGACACAAGGATCCTCTGAGGAACAATGGCACGGGCAGCACCTCAGAGAATAAAAAGGAACACGAGTGAGGCATGGAGAAGAACACAGAAAAGGACAGAGTGCCAAACACACGGTAAGGACAGAGGCATACAGAGACACGTGGGGCAAGATGCTTCTCCTCCAGCCACTACACAAGCACAGCTCCCCTGCAATTCCATGCTCAGTCTCTCCTCCAAGCTGCACAGGTGAACAAACAGGTACTCCCAACGTTTCCTTCCCTTAGGCAGCACAGACCCACCAGGAGAACCTGGAATCCAAGGATGGATCGAAACATGGGAGGTCTCACTTGCTACTCTCTCCACCTTTTCTCCAGCTTAGCCCTGGGCTGGGAAACAAAAGACAACAAACATTTAAAAACAAAACTTGAGGTGTCTTGAGGATGCCCAGGCCTGGGAGGAAGCCCTTCCCAGCAGCTTCTTGGCCTTTCCTCACTCTGAGGAGCTGTGGAAATGCACATCCAGACGGGACAGACGGCCTGGGATGTTTTCTGCACAACAAACGCCACAACCCTGAGCACCAGAAGCCTGAAGATGCTCTGGATTGCAATTCACAGCCTCAGGGGATTCTACATGGGACAGCCAAGTCATTTGTGCCCAGAGGAAATACAAGTCACCATTTTTAACAGTTAAAATATCTGTGGAAGTTACTGGCTGCTTACGGCAGTGAGCTTCATACGGCCTCCCATACTTAGGGATTTATCAGAAGAAGCAGTTTCAGGTTCCTTCCTTTTGGACCCCAGCCCCAAAGCTCTGAAATTAAGGAATTTCTCCTGGCAGCTTGGAGATTATGTTATCACAAATGAAAGAAAGTAAAGAAAAAATATTCCCAGTAAGAGCCCTTGGGACCTTCTGGGCTGAATTTGGAAGGGGACATTCATTCCCTGTAATGCAAATACACAACAACCTCCAACACAAAGCAGAGATGTCAAGTGAGGTCTGAAAGCACCAGTTTAACAAATCTCATTGTCATTCTTTTTTTTGGTGACTTTTGCAATCAAACTCCAAAGCTGACAACCACAACTATCCCCTGTGCTCCATCCAGCCACTCTGGAACAAAACAATATTCCCTGCCAAACTGACAATGGACAGGGGGCAGGGGTCTCCTCTTCAGAAGCTCCTGGCCTGATCTGGAACTACAATGATGTATTACACATAGTAGAAGAAACTCCATTGGATTTTTTTAATTTAAGCAGAACCTAGGGAGAAGTGTTGTAGAAGTGGTATCCACCTGTTTGCTACCGCAGTGGAATTACTCTGTAATTCCTACACCACCTCTCACCATCCAAGCTTTAGCTCTAGGCTGTCCAGGAGAGGAGCCAGATCCCTCCAATGGAAAGGATTTCTCACTTACTGAGTATGGAAATGGCTGAAGGTGGAATCTAGTGAAAAAAGGAATTCACCATGTTTGCATGTCTATGTGCACTCACAAGTGAAGAGAAATCCAAACACCAGAGATCATTAGCAGGAGCAGAAAGAAACCAGGTACTGGACTTCATTACAACACATAAGGTTAGTGCATGAGATACAAAGAAACAAAGTATTTATTCTTAAAAGCTCTTCTACGAATCACTGAATCACTCGGCATCATACAATGGATACGGTGGCTACAGAGTAGAGGGAGTCTCTCTCCCCCTTCCCCCTATCTTTACACACACATTTGCTCACTCTCACAAACCCACTGTTGTATTTTTAAAATGGAGTTCCTCTCTTCAGTGAGTTGGAAAAATTGTTTATAACACAGGATCTGGCAGAACAGATACATCCTATTAAATAACAGAGCAGTTACAGAAAGGAGACTGCTTTCTTTAGGAAAAAGAGCCTTCTTTCCCTCCTTATCTCTTTGCATTGCCTTAGAAGAGTTCTCCAGACGAAACCAGACCAACAACCCCCAAATACCTGATTTGCATTTTGGCAAAATTAGCAGCCCTAGGATATACACCAATATTGATTTATATACTAATATTTTCACCTGGCTTCCACAGGGTAGGTTCTAAACAATGTGGTGTAAAACCCTGCCAGCCGAGACGATGTCTGCACTACAGCTACCAACCCTGCTATGTGGAACAACTGAATCCGTGCTGGTAACAGGGAAAACGCTTTGACAGCTTGTCTCAATGTTATTTGCAAAACTTTTGGTTGTGTGCGTGCCCCCCAGTTCCCAGGCTGCACACCGACTGACTGTCTCTCCCACGAGTTCTGTGTACCCACATGCACAGAACACAGACTCACACGGGCTGTACTATTTCCAGGAGCACTTTGCACATTATCTTGTGCTGTGTCTTTCTGGTGCTTCAGTGCTACCCTGCTCCGTTTTTTATTTCCTTTCCCACTGTTGTATTCTTCTCTTTATTCCACAACTGAACATTTGCTTCCCCTTCCATCTCGAAGAAGCATTTGATCTGATTCCTGCCTCATGGCCAACAACCCAGAAGACTAAAAAAAACTGTTTCTAATCTGCCACGTCAACAATTCTGCTCCAAGATACATTTCCCTCCTACTGGTACTCCAGAATTCCATTGAACCCTTTCCTAGTTTGATGCTATATTTTCTAACAATCTAGATTATCATCTATAGATGAACTACTTCTATGCACAGAATGGTTTTTTGCAGTATGCATAGATTTATATTGTACGGTGGCAACTGAAGACCGCAATACGTCTTCCTGTCACCTTTTATACACACAAAAGGACAGTCATCCTGAACTTAAAATAAATTCCTCATTCACAGTCTGCCATAATTACCTGCCTCTTCAGTGCCACTACCTTTCATTTTCAATGCTCAAGCAACACTTAGTCTAGTTGCTTCCAGTATTGCACCATTATTTATCTTCAAATAGTTTTTCTTTGTTTCACAAACAAGCAAGCTCTTCATTTTGCCTACAGAACAAAGGACAAAATTTTTCTCTCTCTGATTCAGTAAAAGATCTGAACAGCACCTGAACAAAGGAAAAAGGCATCACAATCTCAAACCTCGGTTTAACCAAAGGAAAGACACGTGACAGCTAGTCCTAAGACTCACTGGTAGTGACCAGTCTTTTTTTATAGACAGTGAAATGTAAGAATTTAGACTGCAATCTCCAGTGCCATCATCAGTGGCTGATGCATGCACACACCCATTTCAGTATAATGCAGCTGCTTGACAGAGCTTCAGCTTCCCGTGATGCAGTTGTGAACATTGGCACCAACACCACATTGGTTTTGTTAATTTACTCTGAAAGAGACTTGAAACCAGATCCATTCAATTAATTCTACAGAGGCTCTAAACCCAGGCTGGACCCCAATGTGTTGTCAGCTGTGGCAAATGGCTGGTATTGCTCTCAAATACCTTCACCTTCAGCAGGAAGGCTCTCAAACCCCAGAATTCCCTGGCAGACATTCTGCAGGCATCTCTCTCAGTCCCGTGCCCTTCTTATATCCTTGTGCATTTTCCTTTGCATTTCTTATTCCTGCAGACTGAGCATACCCCTGATTGTAGCTGCTCTGTTTGCCACGCACAGACAGGAGTTTTGTACACTGGGCAGCATGCACACAACGGACACAGCAGCATAACAAATATGGAAGCACAGCAGCAGATGATCCCCACTGTTTTCTCCTCGTAATGCTTGCTTGTAGTCCAATTAGTGGAGTCCTAAATTAAGTCACGTTTCAAGTCCATCACTGTGGCAGCCTCACAGTCCCTCAGTATAACCAGTTTAAGACTGCAGGATTTCACATTTTACTGTGAAAAGAGGCATTAGCACAAAAGGGAAAAATGCCAAATCAAGCCATTCCCAGTAAAAGGCCTCAGACAATGAGGTACTTTTTCTCACACCAACAGGTTTTGTGGGAGAGTACTGCATCACATAAATTCACTCAAAAGTAAAGTTTCCAAGACATCTCTGAACACAACGGATGGACTAAAAGCTATGGGACTATTAATGTGAAAACAAAGATATTAAATAAAGGGATAAAGAGAAGACTATCTCTTCTGTGACTGAAGAGAAGAAACTTTTAAGTTAAACTAAGAGAGAAACTGGCAAAGACAGCAGAAAACACAATACTAGAGAAAAAATGCATTTATTCAGAAGAGCTGCCTTCCTTCCATATCTCATGTGAATTTGATTCTCTTTCCAATGAAGTGTAAGAATGGAGGTGAAAAGGAGGAACCTAGAAGAGGATTTTGAGTGCCACATCAAATGCACAGTTATACTTTGGCAGCTGCTTTTTGGACTAGAAATTATATTGGGCCTTGATTATAGCTTGTCTGTGCACTACAAAAAATGAGGAGGGGAAGGATTTAAGGAAGATGTCCCTGCTTCCAAGTAATTGTTCTATAAATTCCCATTATCTGAAATTGTCATGCATTTACAAAGAAGATGATTTCCAAGGGATGTGTACTCTGTGCTATTTAAGGCTGATATGCTTTACAACTCAACAGCATCCAAAATAACCAGCATGTATTATGTATGGGAGAGCCAAATAATTCATAGTAAGAGGCAGTTCACCTATGACCAAAATGTGAGACCAATCTAGGGACTCTGTTAACATCTTGAAGAAAAAACTACCATGTGACATTAAGTTAAGCTTCTTGGATTCTACACCAAGAATCAGGAAGTTATTTTCAGTGATGAACCCTACAGGCACACAGAGACACATTTAAATAATCTGGTATTTTACATATATACTTGTTGTTAATATCTGCTGTGTTAAAGGTAGGCATCAGCAAAGCACCATTACATTATTTTAGTTTTCTCAGAACGCCTCATTTGTTGCTAATACCACTGATATTAAGGATGCATAAGAAGCTCTTATCCCAGGAAATATTCTCTTTCTCTCAGTACAGTGTACAGATCATACCCATCTAGTGATATGTGATTCAATCCGCCTTTCACTGCCGGGACAGGGGGAAGAGAAATTATTTGCACCTGCAGAAGAGATGGCCTGACTATACGTCTTTCTTCCAGACGGGGTCTGCACTCCAGGATGCAAATGCTCCTAGTTTGTTCTTTCAGAGGGTGAGAAAGCTTCTTGCATTGGTCTGGCTGAAATAAAAACTCTATTCAGGAATATAAAGCATCCCACAGCTATAAGAAAGACTATCTTGTCTAATTCCAGATAAGTTACTGTTTGAGACTCTTGGGTACCATAGGGTAAGAGCTGCATTTATTTCTCTAAATCTGTAGTCTCCTAGAACACCTATCTCAACCTCCACCATCGGTGCCACCCATGATTCTAAGCATAGCCCATAAGGATTTGCTGTGTAGTGTCTAACTTTCCACTAAAACTGAACAATGTGCGTTGATGAGTGAACCTTTAGTCTTCTTTCACACTGACACTTGTATGGTGCTGTCTCTGGCTTGGAATGGTTTGAGACACCTGTCCTGGGCAAGATTTCCAAGGGTCACTCTAAAGCTGGTGTTCTGACTGGTGTGCTGACGGCACGTTCTCATCCAGTCAGGAAGCAGGTCCATGTGTAACAGTGAGCTAAGTAACACTGAGAAGTCCACTGGTTTGGTGGTCGCGATGCCAATGGAATCTTGTGAGCAGTACTTATGTGTTACGCACTCCCAAAGATTGCTCCAATTCCTGTCGGCGCTGCTGGATCTGCAAGAAAAAGACACACTGTACAGTTTAGCAGATTAAATTGCTCAGTGGCAAGAGATGCATCTGTAAGTCAGCAGTGTGGATATATTCATTCATACCTTGCAGTAGAAATATCTGCTCACAGCTTCTTGGGACCATGGCTCGTGATAAAATTCAGCTCTGCGCTCTTCCTCCGGGTTTCCAACCACATCAGTCATCACCTGTGACAAAAATAAAGCCATTTTTCACCATAGCTCTTCCACCACATAGAGAAACTTTCAGATTTACCCAGAGTGAAAATTTATCTACATTACACATAAAAATGGTCAGAACTGTTCTCAAAGCCCAAAGCAAATGGACAATGCTTACTGCTAAAATAGGGTCACAGAATGCTCAAATGGTTTGTGTTAGAAGGGACCTTTAGGCTCATCTCATTCCACCCCCACTGCTATGGGCAGGGACACCTTCCACTAGACCAGGTGCTCCAAGCCCTGTCCAATCTGCCTCCAGGGATAGGGCAGCAGAGGGTTGGAAACATTCTACAAAAAAATAGAATTTGATGACTTTGTCTCCAGCATCACAGAATCACAGGTAAATATAGTCATTGGTATATTTTGCAAAGCAATGTTGTGGAATCACAACTCTGATGCCAGCAGGGCAGAATCTTAATAGAAAAGGCTCTTATGGGACTAGTTCTCAGTCAGGGAAAACTGAACAACTATTCCATGTATCTAGGTAGAGAAGCTCCACAACACCTCTGTTTGTAAGTCCCTCAAGTAGAGGTCAGGTTTGTTTAAACATGCTATCAGATTCCTGTCCCCTTTGAATACAATATAAATAGGAATAACCATAATCTTAAGAGTAGATTTTGGGAAGACTATTCAGTTAACAATAGGCATTTATATAAGAAAGACACAATGATTTTATTAAAATAATTTCATGGATTCAATAATACAACTGATTTTGAGGCATGTCAGTTAAAGACAGAAAATGTGACACTATGAGGAACAAATTATTAATTTTTGCTGGCAAACAACTGAACTTCTTTACATTTTGATTTCTTGTACATCTCAAAGATAAGCTCAAGGACAGCCGATAAGATTAAATTATGAACCAACACCCAAATTGTGTTCTTGTACTATACGATGCTCCTGCTGAGTTTTGCACAGCTTTGAATTTACAGAATATATCATCAAAGCCCTGCATTTCAAACTTACTGTCTGGCCACAAATTGACCTATGAAACACTCCCATGAAACACCACTGTTCCACTGGAACTGGAACACAACCTAAACTATCTTTCCTCCAACCTAAACGATCTTTCCTATCTACTCTGGGATTGCAGCACTCCACTCATTGTCTATCTTCCACCAATCATCCATCCTAGCTGTTCGGCTATACGCTCTATGCACATTTAGATAAAATTCTTCCATTCTGGTTACACTATTCATTCTTTTTCAAATCTTATCTCACCTTAAGATCCCTGCTTTGGGACCGGAGAAGGTCTTGGATGTATCCTTTGGGATCCTTGGAGAAACTCAGCATGAAATCACGTTGTATTTTTAGCTGATTTATGGATTCAATTGTCTCATGAATCTGATAGAAAAAAAACCAAAGCAGATATTCTTTAATTTCTCCCATGCTCCAGTGACCATCAGGTCAGCTCTGTTACTGTCTTTGTACTCCTGGTAATGTACAAAGGTGACAATTCTACACCACAGACTTGTGCAGCCCTTCCTAGGGCTTTTTCAGTTCAAAAAGCAGCAACTTAACTGCAATCCTGCCACTACATTCTGGTTTCACTTGCACTTCTGCAATACAAATATGTACAGGATTCTCCTTCACTTCCTGCACTGAACTCCTGCATGGCATGCAGAACTAAGCCATGTCACTGCACAATGTAATAATTTCCTGTGTAGAATCACTCTGCCTGCCAAGACTGGGATCTTTGAGGAAAGGTGTTAAATAAATATGCAGTTAAGCAGTGCCCAGTGCAAGAAAGCAGTTATTCCCCTGGTTACCATCATGATCACATCTTCAATATCCTTAAAAACTCTAGCAGTTTCTTGATCAAGTCCATGTCAAATGAATAGCCACGACTTCTAGATTTCTCTTAAGAGAAAGCCTGTAAAAGTCATGGCTGCAAAAAGAAAAGCGTGAACAATGACAAATCACGAGTATGGAAGGTTTATAGAAAAATAATATCTTTAGAGATATTATGGCAGAAATATTAACTAGTGGGGAAGAATGAAGACTGAAGAAGAGTCGAGGTCCTATAATGGCTAATCATCAAGTATGAAGGGGAGGACATCTCATGAACCATTTGCACACAGACACACACAAAAGCCAACTTCTGCTGCCCTGTTCCTCTAACATTCTAGTTTGAAATAGTAAACTTATCTCATTTAGTTTCATGCATTCATCACTTTTGCCAAAACAGCTAAGGCGACCGAGCACATGGGAGAAAATAATCATCCCCTGATCTGGTTATGCCATCAAGGCCACTAGTGTAGCTACTACATGGTATGTTAAGAGAAGAGAGCTGCTGCTAACTTAAAATCATTCCTTCTTTGGAAAAATGCTGCAGTTGTGTGGAGTGAACTCCACTGGCATGTGCCGAATTCCCAGGAGGAGACTCCATGGCAGCACAGCAATGCTGTGCACAGAGGGACACAGGAGCAGCCCGTGCCCATTCACCCAGCAGGGACTTCAGCAACTTCACTGATCACAGCTTGCCTGTGCTGTAGCAAATATTCAAAAAAGAGGCGACACAGACAGAGGAAAAGGGGAGCACGACTGGAAACAGAATAACCCTGCGCATGCTGCTGGCAAGCGTATATGGGCTGGGGACCAATTGACTGAGCAGCTGAAAAGGACCATCCTCAAGAGGCATGACAGCAAAGACACTGCAACAGTTACCAGAATCCATTGCATTGCTGCTGCCCAGACCCCCTTTCAAACTGCATGAAAACCAGAGTTTAGCATATTTGGTTGTATTAGCAGTAAACAAAGAGAACCTGGGCCTTGCTCTGAGAAGGCATTTTTGTTTATCCCTTACCAATCCAAATGGGCCACTGACAAATGCCAGAACTGGATGACAGCCCCATGGACACGAATCCCTAAAACAGTCTGCAAAACCCACCACTGCCTTAAAGTGGATATTATTATTTGAAGTGCACATGATCCTTTTCCACTGACACTCAGAACTCCCAAAGTGGTTCCAAGTGATTTTCCTGCCACGCATGTTCCATATTTCCACCTAATGCAGAAAGCCATTCTGCAGTTATGAACTCACACCTCAGTATGAGATTCTCCTAGCTTTGCCTTAGCAATTTAATAAGATATCATGACCTCTCAATAAAAAGTTAATCATACAGTTCAGCTGATTCTCAAGCATCAGGGGACTTGGTACACTACCTGTGAAACTCTATCACCTCCACAACCATGTTAGGCCTTGGATCAAATCCTAAGTGGGAATGCCATTCACCCTGATGTATTCCCACTGCATCTGGCTTATTCATCCCTTGAAAGCACATGCCCTTAACAAGTTCCCATCTCACAACATTACTGTTTGACACATGACACCAAACACACGTGAAGCTACACAATGAGTACGTGTACCACGGGATACTTTACTCTTGGGCTAATACCTTGTTATCCAATGCTGTTATCTCCTGTTGGTTAGCTGTTGAGAGAAGAAAACTACTCATCTGGCCCTTTAATGGGTCTTCAACTTCTACATCTATGTCATAACAAGCCGTCTTCTTCTGATCGTTGGGGTCAACACTATGGAGAGTATAACACAAGATCATGAGAACTGCCATAATGAATCAGAATTAATTTCCAGCCAGCCCAGAATTCACTCTTCAATAAAGCCTGTTGCAGATGCTGTAAAAAAAGTATAAGAACAGGGTATCTTTATATATTTTCCTATTCCAGTATATTCTCTCATCTTTTGTCAGTTAGATTTCAAAGACTTTTGAGCTGGAGCTTTTGCCCAGACCATCAAATTTAATTTCTAACATCCTCCTGAGACCTGTTACACTAAATATCAGTATCCTTCTTTGGCTTGCCCTGTCCTAAATTTATCTTCAGTTTGCCAACTTTTAGACTTAACACTTACTTTATTGTTAGACTAAAGTTTCTTAACAAGAAAACGGTCTTCAGCGCAGCAGTTGGTAAATCAGACTTCAGTCACTGTCACTTGCAATATAAAGATTCTGGCTTCTCAACTCCACCTATCAAATGTGTGGGTTGTGTGCATCTGCAGTAGGTAGCAAAACAAAATTGCTCAGGATCTAATTGTGCTTGACAGACTTGGGGGAGCAGAAGAACTTCCAGGGATGGAATTGCATTAGGAGTGTTGTGAGCAGGTAGAGGAAAATGATCCTTCTCTATTCTCAAGACCGACAAGGACACACCTCTAGTGCTGTGCTTAGTGCTGCGCTCCCCAGTGCAAGACATCCAGGGAGCTCCTGTAGAGAATTCTCAAAAGGTCCGTGAAGATGATTAAGGCATCAAAGCACCTCACAGCCGAGGAAAGGCTGAGAGGTCTGGGACTATTCAGCCTAGAAAACAGAAGGCTGGTGGGAAGGGAAATTACCAAAACTTGAAGGAAGAGTTTAAAGAAGATAGAGCCAGGATCTTTTCAGTGGTACCCAGTGACAGGACAAGAGGCAGTTGGTGCAAACTGAGACACAGGAAGCTCCTTCTGAACACCAGGAAACATGTTTTTACTAGAAGGGTGACCAAGCAATAGCACAAATTGCAGTAAGACCCTCAAAGCCCATCTGCCTTTCCCACAGCCCAGAGCCTCCCATGTTGGAAACACTCCAAAGCCATCTGGATATGGCTGTGGCCAAACTGCTACAGGTGACTGTGCTTGAGCAGAGAAGGGCATTTGACCAGATGATTTCCAGAAGTCCCTTCCAGCCACAAACATTCTGAGAATCTGTGATGCTGTGGTTGCCAGCAAGAAGATGAGGAGCAGAAGGAAGGCTAAAGAAAAAGCCAGGAGCGGGTCTGGTTCTGCTGCTCACGTCCAAAGCCACAGAGAAGGCTCCACGCTGTCTCTGGCTCCATTGCTCTGGGCTGAGCGCGGCCCTCAGGCCCCCAGAGCCCCGAGCCCAGGTCAGGGGGGCGGCAGGGCTGTGCACAGGGACCCTGACAGGCCGCACAGACAGGACGGCCCCTCAGCACGGTGAAGGTGGGCACAGGGAAAGCTCTGCTCCTGGCACGGAGTCACACCGGGCAGGGGCACAGGGGGGCATTGCTGCGGTACAAAACACACTGGCAGGAGAGGACCTGGGGGCCCTGAGGGACACACAGCAAGGGCAGAAGGACTCTGAGGGGCCAGGCAGCCATAGCAAAGGTCAGCTGCAAAAGGGGCTGCATTAGCACAGGTTTTGCCATCAAGCCCAGGAAAGAGGCTCTTCCTTCCTACTCCACGCTGGTGGAACTGGATCTGGACTGGTGGGCACAGGACCACAAAGATGTGACATCTTGGAGCCAGGCCTGCAGAGCACGTTGGGGGCTGGAGCACAGACCTGCCAGGAGAAGCTGCAAGAGCTTCCCCAGCCTGGAGAAGAAAAGGGAAAAGGAGGTTGCCCGGGAGAGTGCGATGGCCATGGGGACCGGTGAAGCACAGACAGGGCCAGCCTCCCCCTGGAGGTGCATGGGATTAGGGTGAGAGGCAGCAGAAACTCACTGCAGCATGGGCAATTCACTCCCTATAAAGAATTGGTTTCTAGAAAATCACGATGGTAGTCAAAAAGGGGGGTGCCAGAGATAATCTGTTTGTACTAGAAGAATATTGGAGAGCTATGCTTTGCAGTCTGCTTGCGTTCTTTAATGTGCGTGGAAGTGTGGAAGATGTCTCGCTTCTTTGCAGAAATGGTAATCCCACAGAGGTTATTCTTTTTACCTCTGATTCCAGGTGTGTCAGCTGCAATTAGGGGTGCAACTCAAGAAAATCTCCACTTCTAGCTTGAGCTCAGGTAAGATTTGACTTCTATGACAATCTCTACTTTATGTTCACTTCAACCCCATTGCATTATTTCTTCTTTGTCTTCAAAAAGGAAGGTTGTTGGTACCCAGAGAGTGATTCTACAATACTATTATAATTTCTAGAATGAATTTAGAATATTCCACATTTTTGTTCCTGTGCATATCCTCTAAAACTGGAATGAATAATTGTGATATACGTAATCTTCCTGTAAAAGGCAGGCCTGAGGATTTATCTGAATTACAAGTCCATCCATTTACAATCACTAGCAGTGAGAAATTCCCTGAAGTAATGTGCTGGTTTTGGCTGGGATAGAGTTAATTTTCTCCATCATAGCTGTTTTGTGAATTTGTGCTGGAAATGGCTGGTAACAGAGAGATATTTTCGAGAGATATTTATTGCTGATCATTGCTTGCAGCCTCTTGAGACCTTTCAGCTCCTCACACTTCCCACAAGTGAGGAGGCTGGGGTGCACAAGGAGCTGGGACAGCTCACCCCAACTGACCAAAGGGATATTCCAAACCACGTGGCACCACACTGAGCAGTAAACTGGGGCAAGTGTTCACTGCTCAGGGTCTTCCTGGGCATCAGTCAGTTGGTGGTAAGCAATATTTTCATCTGTATCACTTGTAGTGTTAGATTTGTTCATCACCATCATCATAATCATCATCACCATCATCATCATCGCAATGTCTTTGTCTCACTTTTACCTTTTCAATCTTTCCCCCCTGCCCTTCTGGAGAGAGAAGAAGTGTATGGATTAAGATTGGATTAAAGCAGGACACGCTGAAGATTGGATTAAACCAGGACAGGCAGCTGGCATACTGTTTCAGTGGCTGATTACACTCACTCTAAAAAACTGAATGCAGGGCGACAGGGCAGAGCATTTGTGAGACTCTGTTTTAAGGTTGGCTGGACCAGGCCCTTAAATATCCTGGATAGACTTTGAACCTGATTTGAGTTTGGATGGAGGAGCTCTCAATGACCACCAGTAATCCCTTCGACTGTAAACTATTCTGTGACTGTATGAGTCTAAAAATTACTTACTTTCTTTAAATTCAGTGTCAGACTTCCAGATTTACTTTAGCTTAGCCCAACACTGTAAGTAAGTAAAGACTTCCCTGCAAAAGTACTACCTGTTCCCAGGAAATGAGTTCTTCCTTTGTCCATACCATTATGTCAGCACCATTTAAGGCTGTCAGGAGCTGTGTGGTGCACACAGCGTATCAGAGAACGCTGGCAGACACAAAGCCGTAGCTTTGTGACACACACCTGTTCTTTTGCTGGTATCTGACAAGAACCACTCCCTCCAGTACCTTTTTGTCATCTCTCTGCCCCAGAAACATAATCATCAGTCCCTTGTCATTTTTATCTAAGCAATGACTATCTCTCTCTGAGGACCTCAGCTTTTTTGTGGTCCATCAGACAGGGCACTGAGCTGTGCCCAATGACAATACATACACAGCTCTCAGTCTGGATGGCCACCAAGCTGCTTTTTCATTACTCTGTTTGATACATTCAAATGAATCAAAAAGCAAACTTTATTTTCATAGCCTATGTACATTTAACATATTATTCTTCTTATCACGTATGTTACAAATTTAAAATAAAGAGCCCAATTTTAAGCAAATTCAGAAACATTTGCTTAAAAATATATTGTATATATTCTGTAGGAAATCAAATCAGTAACCTAAGTAATAATAACTTTTAAACATACGGAATCAGAGTTTTGACCCTGACAAAGAAACTTGGAAAGGATTGAAATATCTGAACAGCAAAGTTGCAATCCCCAGAAGTCTCTTTATCCCCCTCCTCCATGTACACAGCTGTCACTTAAAAAGGCACATGCTGGAAGAGCCCGAGAGAGCTGAAAGTTGTGTTTCATCTGCTATGCCAGGAAGACATCTGTTCTGACAAGGATACGAGAGCTCAGCATCTTGGTCACAATGACCTCCTCTGAATCCAGATACTCTTTGTTGTTAATCTCTGGAGATCTCTTGACTTCTTGGCATTCTCAGGATAAGACTAACAGTCAAGGAGCTGACCCACTCCCAACAAAGCATGCATGGACTGGCCCTGCACTTGAAATCGTAATGCTGTTGTACATTTTACATAATATATCAGTGATTGGAATGATTGCTCATGATGGACAATACCTCATTTCAATTTCTTTTTTATCTCTTTTTGTGGGTTCAAACTTTCATTCCTTTCTCCTTAGGAAAAAGCCCAACCAATGGCATTCTAGTAAATATAAAAGCTGCTTTTCATACTCCTAGAAAATTGATGCTGTGCTAGTGAAAATAATTCAGAATTAAACAAACTAGAATGACACATAGAACAAACACACAACGAAGTCCAAGGTGTTCATGCCAAAGTTATAAAACTTGGATTTTGGTCCCTACAGCTACTGCAGCTGTACTTTACCTAGTGAGTGTCTGGCACAGGACAGTGCTGAGCTGACCAAACTTACCTGATGATGTGGTTTATCACTATTGGGTCTGGCGGCAGCAGCAGGTTAGTGAGTCTCTGGGGAATCTCAGAAAACTTTAACCGTGGACAGTCAAAGATCTGGAACACAATAAACAACAAATTTGGTTTGTCCAAAGGCTATCTTGCAGTTAAATGAGAAAGTAAGGAATCTGCAGCTCATAATGAACTGAGGCAAATACAGAAAGTGGTTTTGAAAGCTGTAATTCAGGTTCCTGATTAAATTTTTGGTCACTTCTGTCCCTCCACTTTCATCTGGGCTTCCAGACATACCCATCAGGCCATGACAATTTCAGGTGTCTCACTTTTGGTTTAGCTGCTGGAGGGAACAGGACCCTTCACCGGGACATGAGCATCAGCTGTATCCATGATGGGAGAGAAGCAAATACTCCCTCTCTTACTAAGGGTTTACAGCAGCATATTGTAAAGAAGATGACTGAATTTTTTTCAGACAGAAAAACACTATTGTAGGGCAAATTAATAACAGAAAATAAAAAATTAAAAAGAAAACCAGGACACAAGTTTCATCACAACATTTACTTTTGTTGGTTGCTAAAACATTATTCATTCATTTTAACTGCCAGTATTTTCCTTACACAGAAGTATATCACAAACCCCACTTTCAATTACTTTCAAAGTAAGTCAAGTGAGCCTGAAAAGCAAAGCTAGGTAAGCCAGTGAGAGCTCAGTTAACATTACCTTTCAAAAAAACCCCATAATCATATTTACATAAAGGGTGGAGATGCTTTTATGTGGCCTTGGTTTTGACAACACTGGCACATGGAGAGGGTGTTAATGATATTAGTTGTAGTGGCTGCTGAAAGCCATTCAGTGCTGAGGATACTGCAAATCATCAAGGGAAAATAAAAATCATTAATTTTCATTCATCCCAAATTTGTGTCTGGATGTTAAGAGTTTGCTTCTGAAGAGCTACTGTGTCCAAACAAGAGTTACCTGCTGGAAGTACTTGTCGCAGTTAATGTATTCCTTGTCGTGGGAGTCCTGCAGCTTGTTTGTTTTGATGTACTGCCAGAGGGCCTGGATGATGGCCGAGCGTGTCTGCGTGTGGATGCCCAGGAGGCGGGCCAGCCGCGGGTCCAGCTTGAACTGGGGGGGCTGCAACAGAGAGCCGAGGAGGTGGCAGCACAGAAGAAAGCAGACAGATACACAAGTAGGAAGCGTCAGTTTTAATTCTTGGGGGGACTCTGTTCTTTGGGAGAAGTATCCCATTCAGCGGCAGAGATTGCAAAAACACAAGTTTGTATTTTTGTGTCTCACCATTGGTGCTTAGGAAGAAGGACCTTGTACCTGTGCCATGCACACAGACTACCCATACCACATGCTTCAAATAATAAAAACTTGTACAAAGACTCAGGAAGAATTTTCCCTTTCAACACTGATGCAAAATTTGACTTCTGAGAATGAGAGAAGAAAAAGAACAGCTCTTCCTCTGAACTACTGTAAGTTAACCACAGAGAGAGAGAAGGAAGGCAGGATGATGCTTCCACAGCTGCTAATAACTGCTGTCTCACGCCAACACACTGTCTTGGAACTCTGTTCAGGCATGAACCGTTCTGGTGCACACCAAAAAATTTACCCAACTACAACCAGTCAATAGATTTTATTTCTTTTCCTGATCTCAGTGATATAATTCAACTTCCTTGTTCTCCATCTCTTGTAACAAAAACTCCTTGGATAATCTGGAATTGGATGCTTCTTCAAGTGTGTACTCATACTCAGGTTTAGTATTCACCACATTAATAAGCAAGGATTACTCTGATGGGTGGCAGGTCACCCCAAGCTAGCTTTATAACAAATCTGGACCTAAGAACAAAAGAACATCTATTTTAAAGCATAAATTTATAATAACGGTGAGCATAACAAACATCATTATATTGTCTTAATAGCAAAAATGCTCACTGCCTATATCAGTATTTCAGTTAGCCCATATGCTCCCTAAAATTAATACAATTTTCTCTCTGCTAACATAAAATGGAGTGCCTATATCCTGAATAGATGCTATTTGCCTGGAGGCAAAAGAAAGTGGCAGAGAACAAGTTCTTAAAGGTACACCCTCAAAATGCATCTGAGCCTGAGCTGTCATTGGAAAGGGGGATCCCATCCACTCACAGCAGAGCGAGTTTAACAGTTAACAGTTCCCTTAAGACAGCAATGTTTCTTCCAGGGACAGTTTCAGTCAGATTGGTGAGCTCCCCAACTGCTGTGTCCATTGTTTGTGCCAAGGTAAGACTGCCACAGCTACCCAGCTAGTTCAGGTATCACTAGCAAAAGCTTCTCCTCTGTATTTTTTTTAAAGAACCACATGCGTAACATGCCTGCAACTTCTCTGACTATTCTCTAAGAAGCTAGAGGAGGAAATACATATTTTTTCTGCAACTGGGCAATAAAAATACTAATTATCATAACGCCAAGACCAATATTTTGCTAGACTATATTAGAAATTCACTTGATTTGTCCCCTTTAAATTTTAAATAATCCTTCTGTTTGGTATCATTCTCACTTCAATGGACCATGTGACACTGCAAGTACAAGTATATTGGGTTTAGAGCTGTGTGACAAGATGGATTTGCTCTGTTGCACTAGGTCCCAGTGGCTGTGTGTTGCAGGCTAAAGCAGTGCACTGACCTGGTAATCCAACATGAGGAGTAATGTGCACCGCACACTGACATCCCCAGGCCTCTTCACCTGGAAGCCATCTGTCTCCTGGGTTGTGGGAGTTCTGTGCCACTAACAAAGGGAAAAACAAAATTGTTGGTCTTTTTTCACTGATGTCCATGGAGGTGCATCTTGCACAGCATACCATACCAGAATTAGACAAGTGCGTGCTTTCTGAAAATCTGGCAATCTAAAAAATAATCTAAAAAAGATAACAACAAAACCAATCCACAACAGCCCCCCACGTCCACCCCCCAGTCATTTCAATTCAGCTTTAGTGCCGAATCTGCTCTGCTGTTAGCATACTTTACTTGTTAGGAGAAATGTGTACAATATTTTCATCTTTTCATACATTCTGTTCTAAGATGAGCACTGCAGCACTAAAACATCTATGTTTTTATAGTAGATTCCTCTAGCAAACATTCTTAAGAATAATGGAATTTTGAAAACTTTGAAAATACTTTAAATGAGATAATGAATGCAAAGGCCCCTAAACAAGGGAAGCAACAGGCGCCAGGTGTTTATGTGTGCCAGTAACTAGTTTCTACACAAAGGGTGCACAGCTTTCTCACCTCCACAAGATGATTGTCAGGTCCATAAAGATCTTTGTCCAGTTCAATAACCAAACTCTTAAAAAAAGATGAAAACTTCCGTTTCTGTTTGCTGAGCTGTACAAGCAGAAGAACCAGAGGTGTGTAAGGCTGCATTTATTAGCTTGTGTTCTAGACTTCTCAGTCTGGCTTGAACATTAAATCCCATGTAAACCACAAATGTGATCAATCTAATTGAGTTCTCCCTTTGACAAAAACAGGGTAAGATGAAAAAATCTCAACAGTAGTGGAACAGTGTACATTTTAGGGAATATTTCCTTGACTCTTAATGTTATTGAAAAGCACTGGCTTGTAAGGTGAACATGGCATCCATGAGAAAGGTCCAGAAAATGGCCATGAAAATTATCTCAGGACTGGAGCACCGCTCCTGTGAGAACAGGCTGAGAGAGTCGGGGCTGTTCAGCCCAGAGAAACATAGGTTGCAGGGAATATTTAAAGGAGGCTTGTAAGAAAGATCAAGGGCAACTTTTTACCAAGATCTGTAATTACAGGGTTGGACTGGTCTTAAGAAGGGCGTTTTTTACTCAGAGGGTGGTGAGGCACAGGTTGCCCACAGAAGCTGTGGCTGCCCTATCCCTGAAAGTGTTCCAGGCCAGGCTGGAAGGAGCTTTCAGCAACAGGGACCAGTGGAAGGGGTCCCTGTCCAGGGCAGTGGGATGGAATCAGATGGTCCTGAAGATCCCTTCCAACCCAAACCCTTCTATGATCCCAAGTCCTCTGTATACCTTTCTTTTTAACAGCCTGGGATTTTTTTGATGAATGCTAATTTCTTGGTCTGATTTATCAGATTACAGTAAATTTTGCAGACTGTCATACACTAAGCAAAACTATTTCCTTTTAAGTTTTTTATTTTCATTTAATTATCAGTATTTGTTGTTTAGTGCACAGCTCATGTTGTCTATATTAAAAATTAGAAGGTCTGTGATTACCAGACTCTCCACAGAATACAGACCACGGGATTCCAATTTATTTCTTTGTGTTTAATGCAGATAACATTTTATTAAAAAATGCTGGTAATTGAAAAGCTATGTTCTTCCAATAAAGAATCTCTTTCTTTATTGACATTTATGCTCTAATTTCTAAACTGAAACTAACTTCAATTCCCAGATGCTGCACTTTGTCACCACTTCTTCCTCCAGCAAGACTCTGATTCATGTACAGGTACCTCCAGACAGACTGAAAGCCTTGCCGTCTCCATGCATGCATGTTCTCAGTCTGTTTAGCCTATAAACACTTACTTGTGAAGTAATTTCAAATAGATGGACGCCTTTATTAGCAAAGTCCAGCCTTCCCCAAGACAGCTAAATCCACCACTGAGGTTTCTGAGGACTTCATAATGGTAAAATGTTTCTTCCATCCTTGCTCTAACTATTCATACATTGTGTGGTACCCCCTAAGAATATGAAGTACTGCCTTCTCCTTGTTATCCTGCTCTTCACAAGATGCAATGCCCACTGTAGGCCAGAATTACCACATCTGCTGTAACCTGAACCCTGCCATCTCTTTAAAAGGATTAGTCTCAGCCCTCTTCTCTCCACTTCCTCCCACCTATCCCATCCTTATGTCTGCCTCATTTTCTGCTGCACTCTCTAACATTCCCATTAGGGCCCTATCCCTCACTTGGGCTGGGCACAATGCCTTCCCAGCAGCAACAAGCCAACACTGCCATTCAGACATGGCTTGTCTCAGCTGATGTTCCCAGTACAACCTACCACTCCAAAGGACAATCTTTAGACCCTGCCAGCCCCAGTGAAGCAGAGATAAGTCATACATCATCCAGGAGCTTCCCCTCCACACGCAGCTCCCACGAAGCAATGCTGCCGTCAGAGTCATCAGCATCTGATTTTGCAGGATTAAATGTGTTGGAGATGTAAAGTCTCAGTTTCCGCTTTTGCTGTTATGCACATAGACAAGGGAAAAGTACATATCCAGTTTAAGTTCAGGATCTGAGGAAGCTGCAGGAAAGGTGACAATGACACATATAATAGGGAATCTCCATGTTTTGTACAGCTGCACCAGTTGTATTAGAATTTAAGATTCTTTACGTGTACAAAAATACATTGAAGAGCTGAAACTAAAAATTCCTTTCAAAAACTCCTGGCTATACAAACATGCTGAAATTCACTGTAAATGGAGAAAGACAGGAGGTTGCCATGCCTAAGAAGTGATACATCCTATACTTCTAGATTAGATATCTGAGAAATCACTGTGGGTAAAGCATGATATTATGTCCTTTCTGGCTTCGACCTAGCTAGATTGATAAAATTCAGCTGCAACACTATTGCAACACAAATGTCTTTCATCGTTGCATAGCTCAGATTTGCATATGGCAGTCACAAATACAGCTCATGCTGCGAACTACCTGCTGGGCACACCCTGCCCATCTGCATCGTGCCATCCTCCTGCAGACACACCTGAACACACCAACACACACACCACTGCCTCACTCTCCTCTTCACCCCAGCTGCCTTCACCCTGAGCAAACATGCTGCAGCTCCAGCTTGCTGGGAGACTTGTGTGAAGGAAGGCACCCTGCCTCATCCCTAACCCAGGTGCTGAAGTCTGCCAGAGATACAATCATGCTAATACATTGTCATTTTTACAGACCACCTGAAGCTTCCCAATCACTGTCGTGGCTTATGGCTGTGTCATCTCTCAGTGCCCTTCCTTCCATGCATCACGTGGAAAACCCAGCTATTAAGTCTGATGCATGGATTCCAGAAAAGATTGTTACCAAAAATTACTTTGGGACTCTAATCTCCAATACCTATGTAGATGACAATGCCAAAAAGGCTACAGTTGTCAAGTTCATGCCAACAAAACAACGTAAGAAAGGCTCGATCTTGTAAAGCTTATACACACATAGGAGAGAACGAAGCTACATGCAGCAGATTATACAGCATAATCTGGCACAGAGGAATGGGGAAGGCAGAGATGTATGGCTGAAGAGGAACAGGAAAATTACTACATTCTGCCAAACCTGGAGAAGACAGTAACAGAGAGGTTTGATAGAAATGCAGTGTCTACAGTATGCTCTGACAGGGAACAGGATTTTCCGAAGTGCCATCAGTGCAGAAAATGACAGATTTACACAGGTAAAAACAGCAGATTAGCAGAAAAATATTCTTGTGAATCCATGATTTTTTCCATCTTTTCCCACAGGATTCCTGTTGCCAAAGTGCTATTTCATAATATAATTATTTTAATGACCCCAAATCTCTATTTAGTGTGGTGGATTTGTGAAGGATTTCACCTTTCTAAACTCAAAACTCTTCAAATTACCCTGGACATTTTATGTGCCATTCCTAAATTTTATCCCCACCTGGATTACTTGCAGAACTGTACCTACATACACAAGCAGGCTTTTACTTAATAGACATCTAGTGTCAGCAGCACCACTGGCTCCTTGTAAGAGCTACCTGGGAATGGTTCTGCTCCCAGACATTTTGGCAGGCTGTCTCCACTTCCAGGTCCAGGAACTAGACAATGGCTTTTGAACTTCCCCTACAAGCCCTTATTACCAACAGTGGTAATACATACTTAATGCAGTAGAATTTAAAGAAAATAAATTTAGAAATCCCTAGCAAGATTTCAGAACTGTGGCTCTAGAGCCAGGAACAGTTACTTTGGACCCTTAAGCTCTTTCTCTCCTACCGTGACTATTCTCCTGGCAGCTGATTCAAACTACCAGTGAGCAATAAGACCCTTAGCAGGGACCCAAGAGTACAGTATGAATCCTACCTGAAGGGATCTATCTAGTAAGAACTCCAGCATGCACAGCCATACTGCTATCATAAGGATGTCCAATCTTGGAAGATGCCAGCTCAGAGATGAGATATAGTTAAAACTGAGCTCAAGAAAGAAAGACACCAACATGGTGCTGGGTAGGGTTTTAAAGTACAGGCCATGAAGTCTCTTCAGTTGCTGATTCACACCAAAAATCACTGCATTTGGTTCACTCGCAGTATCCCTATGTTCCACAAGAATGTCAAGTTCATATCCAGAAGGCTCTCAGAATGAGAGAAGGAACACCTTCTTCCGTCTCCAGTTGAGCAACTCCATCTCATCCAGGGAGGAAATGATAACATTTATGAGCAACTTGATTGCTTTGCAGCCTTATTAAAGTGGTGGCAAGAAGCGACAGCCCTTCAATAAATTCTGTAAATTTCTCAGCCACGTGCTTCATCACACAGACCTAGAATCTGTTCTCCTCTCTGTACAGTGGATTCTCAGAGAACAGAAGAGCAAGCAACCGAAGGACTCTCAGTAGCTGGGAGCAAAAACTAAAGAGAAGACTTAGAGCTCTAGGGCAAAAAGTAAGCATCACGTTTCATCTCTTCAGTCACACCAGAACTTCACTACCCAAAAAGGCCAGGCTAAGCAGGAGGAACTTCACAGAGACTTGATCAACTTTGTGATTCAAATAATCTCTTGTCCAAAAATCAGTAAACGCTTCAGCTCCTTGTTCTCTTACAGTAAGACACTGATCTTTGACTCAGCTTCAGCAAAAGGAACTTTAAAGAGCAGTCATATTAAAATGAAAAGTCTACCCCTAAACCCATTGTATTTCACTTACAATTTCTCTTTGAGAAAACTAAAAGGAAAGAAGTAATCATAGGTAAGAGATGAGTGGTAATGTCAGCAATGGACTCCTGCAAAGGTCTCAGCACAGCTGCTGGGTGAGCTCACATGAAATCAAGCAGATCTGAATGGGAGACTGACAGGAACAGTGGAGCAGCACACTTAAAGCTTGCTCTTTCTCCAAGTTCTCTGATGTCATCTTTACACAAATGAATACGGCTTTAAGTAATGAATACAGCTTTAAATGGGTGAAATGCTGGAGATCTGTCAAATCCTCCAGAAAACCTTCCCTGGTTTATAGTGTTACTTTTTTTTTTTTTTTTTTCAGTTTCCATTAGTATTGAATCCCTAACAAATCAAATCAGAAAGCAAGTATCTGATGATCCCAGGATCTGTGTGTTATCCCCCAGATTAATCTCCATCAACTGCTGAAGTTAGTTTCCTTCAATGAACTCTCAGGCTGGACCTAAAACCCCCCAGGCCCTTCCAGGGAAGTTGTGCTTGGGATTTCAAACAAACAAACAAACAAACAAAGTTATTAGCAGACAGTCTACTGCTGACTGACTCAAGAAAATCTGACTGCAAGTCTTGTAAGTAGTATTGTGTTAAAAGCTCTCTAAGTATATCTTAAGGGTGAATTTCTACGAACCTCAATATAGCATAAAAACCTCAAGCACAAAGCACAGAAAAGATTAAAATCTGTGTTTTTGCTATTGCATATACAGTAACTGTTTTCCGGTCTCACAGAAAATAAAGCTTTTTAGAAAGCAAAATGAACAGTGGTAGCATGGAAACCAAAAATCAGGAAACAGAAAAAACAATGACCACTGTCTGATCATTATAAAATACCCAAATTAAATGAAGAATGTCCATATCAGAGCCGGAATATAGAGGCATCTTGCTCAGAGCAGCAGCAAGATATGTCAAAATGTGTAGAGGAAACAAAATTAGTTAGGTAACTCCTGAAAAGAAAATGGACATGAACTTAAAAATGGCCAACACAAAGCAGAAAAACCAATGACTTGGTAGACTACACAAGTATAATGAATAATAAAAGAAATGAGACAGCATTTACTGAGTTCAAAATTGCACTGACACATGAAAAACACTTATAAATAGTTCTATAAAAGCGTAAACAACAAAAACAAAACTCAGAAAAAGGTGAAGCAAATGCTACAGAGGAATAAAATGGAAATTAGTATGCACAGTAGTCTACAAAATCAGCTGTAGCAGCTTATTTCATAGTTGCATATTCTACTTTCTCAGGAGAGAATGAGAAGTTGTATAGTGACAGGTAATAAGAAGTCAGATGCACTGAAAAATTATTTTTCTACAGGGATTGGGAGGAATGAATTTTTTACCCAAGAAAAGAGAACATTAAAGAACCTGAAAGACATCTTTAAAACACTAACTGATTAAAGGAGATGAGGTGTTTGCATTTTCCTTATCTCATAACGCAAAAAGCAGAACACAGAATTATGCCACAAGACAAGTGTTTCAGAAAAAACCATAATTGCTTTCTGGCAACAATCCACTATCAATTCCTCAGTCATCTTAAAACCTGAAAGTGGGGAAAAAAAGTATCTCAATTCACGAAACTAGGGAGAGAGACACTATGATGGTGTTCTGATGCTACTACTTGTTTTTCACCTAAAAATGGAGAACCTGGAAGCAGATCGTTTAGTTTGGGAACTGCAACTATACACATATCTGGTAAATGGAATGTCTCACACCAGTTCACTGCAAAAGAGGGACAGTCTCTGGATGACAGTCTGTGCTTTGGGTGAGATGAAAGCACTGTCTGTGGTGCCAGGACTTGGAGTAGGAGCCCTGCCCATGTCACAGTCACATCCCACTTTCAGTCAGAAGACCCTGGTTCAGGCTTTGGGATGAAAATCATCTCAGTCTTAAAATTATGTTTATGGCGACAACTGTCTATCTCAGGGTTACACAGTGGAGACAAATAAGCATTTTTAGGGTGTTATCTATCTATATTATTTTAAACATCCACTTCTGTATGAGAAGAATTGTGCTCTGAACACCACTGTCTACACCAACCTAATCTCTCAACTATGAAGGGAGCTGAGAGTGACTAGCTCAGATATAAATGAATGAAATGGCTATATCTATACTTAGAAAAATAAATCCCACTCCCAAAGTCCACCATGGCCTTAGAACTGCATAGATTTTCAGTAATTAATTCTTTAATGACATCTACTGATCTGTTGAGTGTATAGTTTCTGTTTCCTTCAGGTCATGGACCTTGCTATATCTGTCAAGCAGCCCTGTCTGCCTGACTACCTCCTAGAAGTTCTTTCTGGAATTCTGACCATGTGGGTCTTCCGTGAAGTCTGTACAAGGACTCTTGCTAATGCTGCTCTGCAGACAATGAATTCTGAGACTCTCATGACAGATGCAATCCAGGAATGCAGGACTGGCTGAAGAAGAGTACACAGCAGTGCCCAACCAGCAGAAACTGCCAAGGCAGCTGAAGAGGGCTGCTGACAGCAGTCAAAGGAGCTGACACGTGGGGAAGGACATTTTCCCCTTCAACAGCCGCCCAAACCCCAGGTCTCCTCACTTCTTCAGCAATACCACAGCTGTCATCTGCTTCAAGAGTGCACCTGCTCTCAGGAGATCCAAGGAGGATCAACAAGCCAAACATATTTTATGCACTGTCCTCACAAAAAAAAAAAAAAAAAAAAAAAAAAAAAAAAAAAAAAAAGCTTTAACCACTTATGCCTAAAATTTCCGCAGAATAGTTAGTCTTCAGACAGAAAAAAACCCCAACCTGAGCAACACTAGACCTTAAATCTGTGGCTCCCTACAACCACAGATTCTAGCTGTTTCTAGCTGCAGCTCAATCACCACGACAAACACTGTAACTGCAGCTACAGCTGGTAACTCTGAGAAATCCTGCTTATTACCCACATAATTTCACATACTTTAGACAAATTCATATTTCGCATAGGATTACAATCCCAGTTTGAGAATCACCGTTCTAAGACAAGTATTTCAAAATTACAAGAGCTTTGATAAGAGATGGAAATGCAGAAATAACTTCTACTGCTGTTACCAATTCTGCAACTATAATAAAATGGAAATACTTAACATTAAGAAAAACCCAAGTTTATCTAGGTTTAGCCCTATTTTGACAGTTCTGATACCTATATGCTAGGACTACCTACACATGAATTTGGAAAACATCTATTTGATCATTCTCTAGATGTTAAGTGAGTAAGTGATATTTAAAACGTGTTTGCTGAGCCCTAGATAGAAACAGAATTTTCTGTCTACAGTTTCTGTAGAGTGTTGTGCCTCCTACACTCTTCTCTATCCCAGACACTGAATATCTCCATAGCACAGCTTACAGCTAGGACCTTGTGCACTTGTTGATTCCCTTATTAAAGACTTTGCCACAGAATAACTAACTTCCTGCTGATTTATGAATTTAAGTCAAAGTCTTCAATCACCTTTAAATATGGCCAGATTCCTAACTAGTTTAAGAGAATGGTGTTCTACCCATATCAAGAAGGTAAGACGAATTATTTCTTCTGAGAGTAAAATATATTATGCGCAACACTTTTTAAGAATGAACTCATGATTTAGACCATCCACAATTGAGTTTCCTTTCTGTCTAGGAGGTGTTAATGGAACTTAATAACTTAATTGTTTCTTTTTTGGTTTGTTTTTGTTTGGTTTTTGGTGGTTTTTTTGGGTTTTTTTTTTTGGTTGGTTGGTTTTTTGTTTGCGTTTTATGGGGGTTTTTTGTTTGTTTTTTGTTGTTGCTTTGTTCGTTTCACATATATCAACTGGAAAAACACCAAGAGGTAAAAGCCTTCCATATTTTATCAGGTGCCTGTACAGTGACAAAAGCAACAGAACATTTATCTTTGTTGGGCTGACCCCCATCACAGTGGTACAGACAAGAATGATAGCTTTATGTCACAGCAGACATATGGCTACAAAACCCTTCATTCTAAGGGAATTATTTGAGGAATAGAGTATGAGCTACCCAATACAGTTACAAGAACTTAAATGAGACACGAAAAGAAATTCTTCGCAATGAGAATGGGCAAAAAATGTAACAGACTGCCTAACAAGGCTGTGAAACCTCCATCCTTACAGATTTTCAAACTCAACAAGGCCTTGACAACCCTGTTTTTAGCAGAAGGTTGAACTAAATAACTTCCAGTTTCCTCCGATCTAAACTCTTCCATGATTCCAAAGAATAGACTCAGAAAACTTAGAAAAAACCTTTTCAGTGGGATATTAGGAAGAGCAAAGTGCTGGACTTTATCTAATAGAAACTGCAGAAAATGTCACCCATTCTTTTTTTACACAACTAATAATTTCTGTAAGTAATTCTTCCCATTGTATGCTCTGTTATTCCACAAGTTCCACTTTTGACCAAATTTGAATTGAAAACATAATACATACCTTCAGCACATCCCTCTAATCTCTTATTTTCTCATTTTTTATCATTTTAATACCAAGTTCCCAAACCAATGCTTATCGATCCTTTATTTATCCCTAGGCTATTATTCCCCTTATTAAAGACTTTCAGAAGCTAGAGCTGGTAACAGCCACTGAATTTTCTCTACCACTTTCCCATGCATGCTGCTTCCCAGCTGTTTACTCTCAGGAGCTTTGTCTAACCCATTCCAAAGCATTTCTGCTAATGAGACTTTAGCTTGAAAGGTATTTCCACCATTTACCACAAGAATTATTTGCCTCCCCTGATACAATCTCCAAGTTTTCCACAACATACCTTCATTGGTCTCTTCAGTGCCTCCTGAATGTCCACGCGCTTCCGCATGATGGTCTGGTCCAGCTTGCGCTCAAAGGCCAAGAGATCCATGTAGGCCTGCGACTCAGGAACCAGCTCCCGGATCTGAGAAGGAAGCACGGGATTCCTCAACACCGGGAGCACAAATCTGCCATGCTGCAGAACAGCCACTGACGCGTTCCCAGCCCTTGGACAGGAGTGCCCAGAGGGGCTCTCCCTGCGACAGCAGCTCTCAGAGGCATGGGACAAGCACAGACTGAAGAGCAGGAGCACAGAACTGAGGCCAATGCACTCTGGAAGCCCCCGCCTGAATCGACAGAGCCTGAACCATGGCTGCATTCTTCCAGAGAGGCTTAGCTACCAGCAGCCAGGGAGACTACCTTTGGCAGTCCAAACTGCAGTGAATTTGTCCTAGAATTCTAAAAAGCTAGAAAAGTGCTGCATCCCCCAAACTAAAGGGGGAGGGGGGTGGGGTGTGTTCATGTCGGTGTTTCAAAAACAAATGTCACCCATTGTAAGTAAAAATGCCAGGTAGGATGCCTGCCTTTGTCAGCACATCTTCCTGCGCTGGTGAAATTGACCTCCATGTCAAAGTCTCAACATGACCAGCCATCAGGTGTCAACTTACGATCCTAACAACTTTTATTGCTATTTTAATACATTAGTTAACTACATTAGTTCTATTGACAAACCCCCTTTTTATATTCTCTTTTACAGGGCAGTTAGCAGAGGAGGGGATATGAAGTAGGCTCGAGTATGACCTAATGAACTGAGCTTAGAAATGGGTAAGTATACCCTTAAATTAAAATGTTGCTTCTTAATTTGGAATAACTCATGCAGGAAAATAATAAAAAGGTACTGTAAGTAACTAAAATAGATCTACTAGACAACCTTTTCTATTTCTACAATATTCACTCTAGCTTTTCTATTTCTACAACATTCACTCAATATTCACTCCTATATTTCCATAGGAATTAAAAGTGAGTTGGTATTCATGTTTTGCTTTAGAAACAGAATTAGTTGCAGTTAAATTTACAGTTTATATCTGGTGTAAGGCACAAACACCTATGTGAGAGACACCAGGCATGCACATGTTCCCTGTGGAACAAGGACATGAGAACAATTGCAGAGGTCATGGCAACAGCTGGCTCTCCTAGTATTGTGTCTCTGACAAGGGTTCACAGTTGCTGCCTTTCATATCCGCAACAATCCAAGGCAGAGTGGTCCAGAACCTCACCAGGCAATGCAGGAGGAAGAACCTCCTTTTGCTCCTTTGGAACCTGCCACGAGTGAGTTTCATTTGATGGCATTTCCCTCCACTGCTGGAGCAGCAGTGGGAAGACATTCCCTAGGCACCTGTGCTATATGTTTTACAGGTTTTTTCCATCCCTATCTTAATGATTTTCTTTTCCAGCCTGACGACAAACAATTTCTCCTTGCTGTATTTAGACAGACTAAGGTTATTAAATAAATGTCTCTTTCAACTGACTCTTTTTGTTTTGAGATGGTAGAATACCTGCTCTACTTACAGCAAGACTAAAACTTCGGAAAAGCAGAAACCACAGATACTTTGGAAAAGTAGAAACCAGAGTAAAAACTCTGTTCAGCTTTAGACAAACCATTATAGTTTAAACTGCTTATATGCTTTCTCAAAATGTTAGTATCAGCTGCATGATAAAAGAAACATGAGCATGAAGAGCAAGCACTACCCTGGAAACATCAAGGAATTGACAGACAGCTTGCAGAGCAAGGGCAGCGAGGCACTGAGTGCAGATCTTCTGACACAACAAAACTCCCCAGTGTTTTTTTCCTGTTCTGCACACATGAAAAGATTTCTCAGTTCCTTGCCTGAAGAAATTAATGATGGTGTGCTACAGTCAATTAAAAATTCTGGACTGAGAGAGTAGTTTCAGACCTTTCATGCCAAGTGCCATCAGAGTCAGTCCGTGAATGCCCTGGGCACAGGCTGAAGCGTGGCCTACAGAGTCCTTAGGATAGAGCCTATGCAGCACAGGTGATACAGCCTTTCTGGCTGGTTCAACAGGTACTAGACCAGGATCCAAATTTCTAGGAAGTTTGTAGAAACAGCAGAAACCTTCAATAAATATTTTTATTCCATGCTTTTACATCTTTTATCACATGAAAGTGAAACGGTTATCTCCTATTCCATTCCTTTAACCAAACTGGATGCTAAATACTACAAGATGCTAAAAAGCACAAACACTTTAAAATCAGCCAAAGACAAAAGTGCATCTAATTCCTTGAACTGCAAATGGCCACAGGTTGGGAGAGCGTTTGAGAGAAGAATTGTACTTGCTGTGTATGTATTCCTCTCTAGGGATGTGTTATGGTCACAGCAAAGATGGGATTTGGGCAAGATCAAAGGCTTACTCAGGCCAGTTTTGTGAGCTCTTAGTCTTTTGCTTTCTCACCCTACTACTGGAATAATCTTTTGGAGGCATAACAATGCCTATGGGACAAGGATCTGTGCAGCCTGCCTAATTCCTTCCCTCGCATGGTTTGCCCTAACAGAAAAGTTCATAGCTCCATGCAGGTCTACACTCGTCTACTAAAGTTTTAACTATAAATGCAAAAAGAGTGTTTCAATACTTCAATTCTCCATTCTGGCCTTGATCTAGTTGACAAAACTCCAGAAAGCACCTAGCAGAACCAGCATCTTGTCAGCCAAGGTTTTGAACATATGTAGTTATACTTTATCTTAGAATTCCATGAATAACTGGAAGAGATTACTATAAACATTAGTAAGACAGTGTCCTTCTTGAGGCTGCAGTTATCTTTCTATTATGAAAATTCAAACATTTCAAACTTTTATAAATTACTAAAAAGCAATTGTCATTAAATTATGCATTTTTATCTATGATTTTCACAAGATTTTTTATCAGTGATGACAAAAAAAATGGCCAACTTGCAGGTGGGGGCAATGAGGACAGTGTGGAAGGAACGACATGATGGCAGACAGTGTGGGGGCCCAACCACACCTGCCTGTAAACAGATGTGCAAGGCTGGTGAGACAGAATCAGAGACCAAGGAACAGCTGCAACACTACAAATTCTGGGATACAAACATCTTTGGATAGCTTCTATGGCTGTCACAGAACGACAGCTTGGAAGGCAACGACAACAGTCAGGAGGCTGGGGAAAGCAATAAGGAAGCCTTCTGCAAGAAGATGAGGAGCAGAAGGAAGGCTAAAGAAAAAGCCAGGAGCGGGTCTGGTTCTGCTGCTCACGTCCAAAGCCACAGAGAAGGCTCCACGCTGTCTCTGGCTCCATTGCTCTGGGCTGAGCGCGGCCCTCAGGCCCCCAGAGCCCCGAGCCCAGGTCAGGGGGGCGGCAGGGCTGTGCACAGGGACCCTGACAGGCCGCACAGACAGGACGGCCCCTCAGCACGGTGAAGGTGGGCACAGGGAAAGCTCTGCTCCTGGCACGGAGTCACACCGGGCAGGGGCACAGGGGGGCATTGCTGCGGTACAAAACACACTGGCAGGAGAGGACCTGGGGGCCCTGAGGGACACACAGCAAGGGCAGAAGGACTCTGAGGGGCCAGGCAGCCATAGCAAAGGTCAGCTGCAAAAGGGGCTGCATTAGCACAGGTTTTGCCATCAAGCCCAGGAAAGAGGCTCTTCCTTCCTACTCCACGCTGGTGGAACTGGATCTGGACTGGTGGGCACAGGACCACAAAGATGTGACATCTTGGAGCCAGGCCTGCAGAGCACGTTGGGGGCTGGAGCACAGACCTGCCAGGAGAAGCTGCAAGAGCTTCCCCAGCCTGGAGAAGAAAAGGGAAAAGGAGGTTGCCCGGGAGAGTGCGATGGCCATGGGGACCGGTGAAGCACAGACAGGGCCAGCCTCCCCCTGGAGGTGCATGGGATTAGGGTGAGAGGCAGCAGAAACTCACTGCAGCATGGGCAATTCACTCCCTATAAAGAATTGGTTTGGAAAAAAAAACCTGTGACAGAACAAACAAAACACATTATGGTATTAAAACCCTGGAACAGGCTGCCAAGAAATGCTCTGGAGTGTCCATCCTTGGCTGGAGGTATTCAGAACCCATCTGGACAAGGTCCTGAGCAAGATGATGTAATTTGAACCTGTTTTATACAACAGCTGGCCAGCAAATCTTTCACAGGTCCTATTGTTGTGCACCTCCAGGATCCCAGAAAAAGCTCAGTAAATAAAACTGGATCTATTGCAGGCAGGAACAACTGGAGCTGCAATCTTCACTGCTTAAGCAGGACAAACAAAACAGTTTCAGTAATCTTGATTTAAAAAAAAAATCACTAATAAATAGAGATTTGGCAGCATCTTGAGAATTAGGCTACCCAAGAATTTCTGTCTTTGAGACAGATAACAAAATCCAAAACCTCTTCCTCCCCCAAGTTTGACAAGTTCAATTTGATCCTTGGCCTTTTTTACTACCTATGGCAGATGGACATAACCCATGCATTTCACATGTATTGGCTGAGAACCAGAATTTTTATCTTAAGTGGCAGTGACTGAAGTCTGACTTGGCAGCTACTGGACAGTTTCCCTGCTGAGAATCTTTAGACTATAGCTTATTGACACAAGTATCTCTACCACTGAGGCTTCTATGGTCCAAGAAAGACAGCTAAGGGCTGACATTCCTTATAAATCATAACTGTGCCACCCTACAACCCCTAAGAGAGAGTGGTTTGAGGAGGATTTCTGACTGACTACTACAGGGCTGGTAACACAGTCCAGTAAAATGGCAAAAGCAACCCATGTTCTTGGTCCTCCTCTCCTAGGACATGGCAAGCCATTGATATTGCTAGGTCCCCTCAGAGGCATCCTTCAGGCTGAACAAGGCCAGTTGGGTCAGTCTTTCCTCATGTGCTGATCCAGTCATTCAATTGACCTGACAATCATCCACTGACCTTAGTCCAGTTTGCCAATGTTTTTCTTGAATTCAGGATCCTAAAACTAGACACAGTGCTCTAGCACTGAGCTATCGAGTATGGAGCAAAGAAGGGTAATCAAGTGCCTCAATCTCTTGGCTGTGCTCCCGGACACAGAGCTCTGGACACTGTTAGTCATCTCTGCTGACAAGACATACCTCCTGCTCACACT